TTTCCAGCAAGAGCTGTACACTCTGACTGAAGGCTCCTGCACTGCAGCTGTGGCCTCCAGCAATTATAAGTGGTCTCCAGAGCAGGCCTCCAGCTGGACCAGCATGCCCAAGAACAATGGGGCAATGACAGCAACTAGTTGTGTGGCCAAGCTGGCACTTGAAATGGCCGAAGAGGCCATCTATGTTGCAGACTAGACATCATGAAAGGCAGACAGCCCCAGCTGACAGGCTTTTTCTAAATTGCAGCATGGCAGGATCAAATATCAGTAAATTCTAGTCTACACAATTCCTCCCTACTGGATGCGTGCCACATTGTCTTCCAGTGCGCGCTGATAGCAAGTTTTTTTGTCTGAAATACGATGCATTATTAGAATGGAGAGTGGTAAGAAGAAATATTGGGGGAAAAAAAAACACCAACAAAGATCACAACAGTTCACCAATGATGCATGATAAAACTATGACTTCGACTGCCAAAGAAAAAAGAGTTCCTAAGTTTGTCCCAAATGCTCCACTGTATTAGCATCTTAGATTAAACGAGCATTTTTTTACTCAACAAGGATGAAACGCAGGTACAGGACAGAGGAGGAAACACTGTTCATGAAGATGTGGGAAACAGATATTTGATATTTTCAGGATGATCAACTCCATCAAATAGTTCTGAAAACAATTTGACAGGAACTGGCAGCTGGCTCCTTGAAGAACTTTGTTCCATACTCTGCATAATGTACATGACAATAATTAAAATTACATCTAGAAACTAGGAGTGAAAGTCCTCCCTATCACACTGTGCCCAGGCACAAGCTCACCTACCTTTCTGAGTGGGGAAAAGTGCATCCCTTCACCTTTACACTATGCAGTCTTGTTTTTCCAGAGCATCTCAGTCGTATCAGAGTTTATTTTGTTTAAGCAACTTCTCTTTCCCCATTCCCTTTTCCCCTAGATTCATGTACCTGGGCAGAGCACCTCTGACAGCAGACCTTCGCAGGGAGCCCTGGTCATCTGATAGACTACAGGACAGTTCAGCTCACCAACTAAAAAACCTGGACAGCTTTTCTATGGACGAATGCTCACTGAATCCATCAAAGCTTCAGGCAACAGTGGATGTGTGTATTCATATGCTTTTCTAAATCTGTTCCAAGCTGATGAACAGCCTAAATGGATTTTAAATTTCATAGCAAGCTTAGGCTACCACTTTGCATCTGCACTGGCTGCCATTCAGTCCAAGAATAATTTAATACTTTACTATGTGCTCCTGCTCAAAAGATAAAGCTGTGCTGGCCTTCAGAAAAGACAAAGCATTTACATTTTTTAAGCAGTTCACTTTTGAGCTGCCATCTCAGTATTAGCATTTTCAAAGTTTACCTCTCAGAGGGCTATGAAAATAAGACTAAAAGGTACTTCCCCTGAACACTAAAATCAGCCCTCCAGAGAAACCAGATGACAGGAACAGTACACAGATGACCTAAAGATATTTCCCTACATCACATCATCAGTTTACCAGACACTTTAATGCTAAACAATATCACTAATTTGAGGATAACTATTTACAGATCAGCTTTGTCAGTATCCCATTTAATTTGCTTGTTAGCAGAATTTATTTATTTAAGAGCAGAGGATGTGAATTATCAATACTGTGAAAATCCTCTTTTTAGCTACTCTCAGTGACTAGCTGTGCTTTTGGGTCAATTTTATCTATGTAGAGAGGATGAAGCTTATTAAGGTTAATTATTTCTGTATGGCTTGTATGATGAAGGCATTTACTAATGAATGGTGGCTTCTTGGTAAAAACGCTGGCTGAGGGCATAGAGCTGAGATGTGAATTCAGCCTGCATAGTTGTGTGTCAGTCAGAAATGTTCCAATCACTGTCACTGGTCTTGAACATGGTGTTTGCAACTGGGCCTTGTCTGACTGAGTCCTATGGCTAAATCAATTCAATCTCCTTCCAATACCTCTTTTTTTTTTTTTTTTTTTTTTTTTTTTTTAATTTTAAAACAAATACAGAAAAGATTCCATAAATTTAAACATGTTTTTTTGTGGAGCAGATTTAAAAGGAGTGTTTGAAATATACTCACCAAAAAAAGCAAAGAAAGGTCTGGAGGAATGCCACATCCCCCAGCGCGTAACAGACTGCACAAAATCTAATAGCATCACAAGAAGATCCTCCTACATCTTATTCCCTACTTCTTTTTCTGCTACTGCTGGCCATCATCCCCAGCCAAATGTTCACATTCTTATTTCTTGGCCTGGCCACATGTACCAGCATGGACCAGCATCTCTTCAGCTTCTCTTGGCATCTGCTCTTGAAGGACTGCCCTTTTTGCCCCTTTTGTTCCACATGGCCCCAGCACTTGGGGTCTATGCTCAGAGAGGCCCCGCTACCTTCACCAGCTGATCTCATTTTAGCCATGCCATCTGCCTGCCTCCCTCCTTGACCACTTTGAGCCCTACGGCATCAGCTCCTTTCCTCAGTCACACTGAATAACGCAGCATCCTCTCTTGGCTAGAGGCTGTGTTCTGACTCAATCCTTTCCACTCACGTTGTACTGTACAACTGAGAACAGTGGAAAGACACACAGTAATAATCACAGCAGGTTCGTAATGACATATCAGTACCAGAAAGGGCTTTGAATCAAGTGCCAGCACCAAGCGTTTGTAGCAGCTATACTGTAAGCTAGATCTGAGTGGGGAAAAAAAATAGCTGCAACAGTCATTTGCAGAAAGTGTGATCATTGCTTCTGTAAACACACAAACACACACACACACACACACAATCTGGAAAAGAAGCACATAGCTGATTAAACTCAACTTTTGTTACATAGCTCCTCTTAGAACGGTGCAGTGACAGAAAGCTCTGAGGACTGCAGAAAGGGCTATACAGGCAGCCAAGCACTTCCTTACGTTTTCCTTTACACGCATTCAATCTGCTTTATTGGCCAGGTCATTACACTATTCTAGATAGACATAAAAGGTACTTTCCTATTAAACTTCAGAACAAATGACATTTTCCATGTACTCAAGCTTCTACGCAATATCCTGCTAACTATAATCTTTCCTGGTTTGCCCTACAAATTGGTTGTGACAGCCATCCAACTTGTAGGCTGCAGTATAAATTGTTGCAGCTTAGCACTGAATTGTCTGGATGCACAAGGTAGCATGCAGATGAATGAGGTAAATCTCTGACTAATTTCACCAGAGGCACTTCCACCTCTTGCCCTTGCTAGGAGCAATCTCCAGAATGAAGCAGCAGCACAGAATGGATCAGATGCAGGTGACAGAGGGACATAAGAACATTTGTACCTCTGGGAAGCTCATGTTTGGAACCAACAGTTCTCACAAGTTGAACTGGCAAAGCTGACTTCTGCTCCCCTTGAGAACTTTAGCCGATTGCTGTGTGTTGTAAAACTTTGAACATTTCAGTGCTTCAAGAAGAATGCAAATCTTGGTGTCTCACTTGCCAGAGCTCCCAGAGAGAGCTCTGCCAGAAAGTCAGGTCCTTCCCACTGCACCAACAGCTCTCGATGAATTAAGAATGAACTGTGCAGCCAGTTTTATGTATGCTGCTTCTGCTGGGATAGGGCTCCTCTGTGAGAACAACAGAGGGAATAGGAATGAAACAGCTGCTGCAGAAAGGCATCTTATGTTGAATTTTGCACACTCTGGGAAAAGTACAATGATACTTGATAAAAATTGCCATTTCTTTTGAACAATGCCTGAAAATCCAAGAAAAGGTCCTAGGAAGAGAAGACCAAGGGCAACAAGGGATAGGCACAGTCCTGTTTTGGGAGAGGATGAATCAGAAGTTACACTCACATTATGCTTACTCCAAACCCCTTTGTGTGAATACATTTTTTCTGAAGCTGAACACAAAAGATAATGCTGCACTGCTCCATGACAATACCACTTTCAGCTTGGTCAATGCCTTAAGCAATGGGCAATTGCCCTACTTGTTATTTAAGACATCCAGCAATCTTGTCTTTCTGCTCCAAAGTGAAAGTTGTCTGTGCTCATATAAGCCATAAAAAGCAGCCACTCTTTCCTTTGCTGGAGATAGGCACAAACAACTTCACGTATCCTGAAGTACCCAAAATGGAATAACGTGACTTGAACGTGTCACAGACACAATGACTCACTCTGTCATTAGAAGTCATTATCACCAGCAACAATAACCTTGAAAAAGACAGGTTAAGGCTCATGCACCCCATGAAAAATACTAGCCAGCCAGCACAGTGTTGCTTGCACAAAGCCTTCAAACAATTGTACCCATGTAAGCAACAAGGTATGCTGAAAGCACATTAGATTTCAGCTAATTAAAGTCTGGTAAGAAGTAGGAGTAGCAAGTATGTTCTTGCAACAAGTTCTTTTGGAAGAAGGTTTATTTTTTTTTTTCCTGATGACATAAAGCGACTGTGTTTTTGACGTGTGCATTTGTCAAACTGAAGCATTAGAATAGGCAGTTCATCACGCTTCCCTTACGAGACCAGACTATGTGATATAAACCGCTTTAGAATACTTACATAGCCATGCCCTAATAACACTGCACTTCATGACACTACCAATATTATTCAAATGAGGTGACAATAAAACAATATTTAAGTATGTATCTGATACACATTATGGATGCATGGTTATACCCATCTCACATAAAACTGGACAGCTTATGGGGAAATCCCAGCCATACTTGAGTGATAGTTTTGGAGCACTTTTTTCCCAAGATAAAATCTCAGGCATCTGTCATCTATCTTGCTCCTATCAAGCTAAGGAGGCTGACAGTGTGAAAGAGAAAACCTACTGTAGCTTCCATTTCATTTGACCTGTAAAGACAATCTGCATAACACCAGAGAATTCTAATGTTTCAGCAGAGTGACTATCAATTACAGACAGCCATAAGCAGCATTTTCTACTGGTCACACTGTGACGTCTATCACTTCAAATTTGAAATGAAAGAAATCCCATTATCCCCCAAGTTTATCAAAGACTGAGTTACATTGAGGAACATACCTTTGAGATGTTACTAGAGCGGCTCACAGAATGCCCCAAAGCCTTCTCATTCTGAAAGAGGAAGAATAAGATTATTGCAAGAGTAAATCAGTTACGAGAGTATTTTAAAGCTGCTATTATAAACCAAGTATAGAGAACATGTTAGAGCTGTGACTTCTGGGGATGTTGCTTATATCGGCATCAGTCTGATTTGACACATTTACTAAGCTGTTTTGTTTGCTTAACTACATATTACATGCTGAAAATCAAATAGGCAAGACAAGTACAAACTGAGAAATAGTAGAACAATGACCTCTCTATCACTACTGCAAAGCCCTTTCCTCAGATGCCATCTGTCTTGGAAAGGATGTTTCTCGGCTCTGCCTCATTGACATCCAAAGGCAAACATCCAACCACTAAAACCAACAGCTCTTGCTTCAAGGAAACAGTGATGTAAAGAAAAGTATCCCAGTGATGTTCTGCAACAATTCTGAATAACCACATGTATGTCATTTCAGGAAATGAAGCGGAGTTACTGAGCAACTTCCTATCTACCACAGAACTCAGAATTAAACTGGAAATATCACACAGGATGAAAACAGAAAAGCTGAAATTCCTGAAACTGAAATCAGTGATGAATGTATCTGTTACTTTTCAGTATGCAAACCCTGACTGACAAGGATGACAATCTTAACTACTACCAAAATAAACTGTAGGTTTCACCATGATGTTTCATCATTTACTGGTTCCTGCTTTCCGAACATCCATGTACCATAAATGCTACTAGACATGATTGTTCCACTGGTAAAACCTGGAAACTTATCTGCAAAGGCTTGTTTGCTTTTCTGAATAAAATCCAGCAAGAAACAAATCCTTCAAAAAACTATTTCAAACAGAGCACGTCTTAACATTTGGTTACATATCTATACCACTGCTTCTTTACATCTGTGAAGCTGGGAGACAAATTTGTTCGAGACTTAAACACCCGAAACAGGGCATATTTACTACTTTTTCCTATGGGCTCCATGAAGCTCTTAGAAGTGCACCCTTCCATCCGGCATTCCAGCAGCCTGACAGAGATGCTTTGATAGCATCCTCTCCCAGTTCTCATTGGCACCAACTGATCAGACAGAACCTGAGAACAGAACTCCTGCATACATAACAAATGGGAACATAAGAGAAATAAAAATATTTTTTTAAAAAAGAATTGACTTTAAATTACTTCTAGATCAGCTCAGATATAATGCTTTTAGTTTTAGACCTTATGTTTATGGTTTGCTACAACTCAAGAGATGTTCAGCTACCAAAACCCACATTAAGGCCACCCAGGCACTACACCCACACTTTGGGATCCCTGTGTTCCCAGACATTCCTTCCTTCAGCACACTCCTTGAGCAGCTTGAGAGCTCTGTGCTGAGAAAAGAGAAGGCAAGGAAAAATTTGAGCATATGCTCACAAAACCAGGCAGGCTCTTTCTCCTAACACAGTCATGGGCACTGCCTTGGTCGATGGATATAAATTGCACTTTCTCCTTTAAAAATTCAAGGAAGCAAATATGGTATTCTGAAATCCTCTCTATGTAGGACTTTGAGTATCTAAAAGGCAGCGAAACAGTCTTTCAAAAGAACAGAGATGTAGCAAAGGAACCCCCACAGATTCTGACTGATAGCCAAATAAAAAATCAGCAAGGATTTACATGAGACCTGGAACAGCTAAATTACCTTCAACTTGAATGCCAGATTTGCATCCTACAAGGCTGAGTTTGATTTTAGAGATGACTATGAGCTTATATTACGTGGATATCAGTATTTCTAGAAGAGAAACAAACACCTAGAGACCCTCAAAGAATATGGGCATGATACTTCTGTGATGACTAACACTAGACTGGGCTACTGCCAAAAAAAAAGCCTGGCCAAGAATCAACTCCAACTGTAAGGAAAGGACCCAGCTAATTTCATCAGACACTGTAACTATAGCAACAGGAAAAAGTTCATTGAAGCTACAGAATAGAGAAGAAAGAAAAAAGGGGGCAGGGACATGTTCTTAAGCTATGATGAAGAGAGAGCAACACAAGTTGGCAAGTACAGCAACCTGTCACTGCGGATGTGTTAGGTGTGGGGGAAGTGGGCTATGCTCTCCGGGCCTTGCAGGGATGTGTGGGAGGTAAACAAAGCTCGGCTCTGTGGGACAAAGGAAATGGATGGTGGTGAGGAGAGAGACCTGCGGGCAAGGAGTCTGCCTGAAGTAGCACACAGCCCCACGCAGCTGGCAGTCCCAAATGCAGCCCTAGACATCAAAGACTTTCAGGCGAAATTCCTGAAGACAAAATTAAACAGAGTAGAGGTTCTTCACCTCATTAATTTAACACTTCCCAGTACTGCTGTCTAGCTGAAGAAGATGCCTGTGAGGCAGCATGACTGAACTTATGCAGGTACCCGTGTTGAAAAGGATGTGCTAAAATTCAATAACTGAAGAGGCTGGGGAACAAGAGCTGTATTTACACAACACAGAGCAAATGCACTCTCAGCCACACCACAGAAACTAGTCTTCCTGCTCCCACGGCTGTGATCTTATCTTGCTGGGTGCCAGCAGCGTGAGAGAAATAGATGCTTGTATCATCTTTGTTGATCTGTTGTTGGGAATGTACCTATCTGAGGTTCCTGCCAGTACATGATTGTGAACAGCTGAATTTGTTATTGGAAGAGTGATCATTTCTAAACAGAAACTGCTCTTAGAAAATATTCTGTATATACAGAGAGAGCATGCACACATATTAAAGTGTGATATTTCTAAATTACTCAGCCACATAAGCGCTTTTATATTCCTACTCCTTTACCACATAAAACTGCTAAGTCCATAAAGCCAACAGGAAATTGTTCAAGATCGGCCAAATTCTTTCCTCGTAATGGTACCTTGAGCCATAGAATCACAAAATCGTTAAAGGTTGGAAAAAAACACTGAGCTTATCTAGTCCAGCCATCCACCGATCCACACCATACCCACTAACCATGTTCCTCAGTACCACATCTCCATGTTTCCTTCCCAGGATGCTGACTCCACCACCTCCCTGGGCAGCCAAACTAACAAACAGGAAGAGCATCAGCTCAGGCCCGTGTTCAACCAGTGACAACTGACACAATAGCCACTACTAGATCCAAAATAGATTTGCAATTACACACACACAGTTTTTTTTCAGTTTGGTTGGCCTTTCCAACTATCAGGCAACTCCCACCACCTTGTTGAAATTGTTTCAGTCTTTGGTCACTTTGGACCCTATCTTTGCATGCCTTCTAATCAGAAACGTTCTTCTGAAACAGCAGCTCCGAGTCTCTGCTTACATGCAGGCTTTAAAATGTGGTGGGTAGAGAACAGACAAACAACTGAGTTGCATTGTGCAACAGCAATTTCCAGTTAACTGTGTCCACTCAAGTAGCATCCTTGCTGCAAGCACTTATCATGCTTTTTTGCAAGCTTCTCTAAAGGACAAAAAAATATATTGTTAATCAATAAACCGCAACAGAAACATCTCCAAGTGGTATATGAAGGCTGCTCCAAAAGTAACACCTCCTATTTTATTATGTACACCCACAACATCAGAGGCAGATGTTGGTGATATGGCTGTAAAGACAAGTCACTGAATTCCTCCATGAGGAAATAATGGCACTCATTGACATTCGTCAACACTTGCTGAGTGTTTACGGAGACTGAACAGTGGATATGAGCACAGTGATGTGGTGGGTGTTGTATTTAAACAGGGGTGACCATGACAGTGGGTCACCTCCATAGCTGCAGATTGTTATGAGTGTGGCATGCAGGTACTTATTCAAATTGCTGCATACATAATAGTGGTGGCTACGACGAGTGTTCAGTACCCGAGAATTTGCTCTATCAGATAGTGTTACTGTGCACTTTGTGTCTGTTGTAGTTTCCATAGCAATAAATAGAAGGCATTATTTTCTGAGCACCCTACATGTTTCATGATGTCTAGTTGTGCAATTTAATCCCTTATACAAATAAAAATAATAAAAATCTATACTTAAGAGAATAAAAACAATGTGGAAGACATTAAATAGACGGCACTTGATGGTGTTTCCAGTGCTGCAGTACATTAAGAATACTGTATTCTTTCTGCTCATTAAGCTAGAAAAGAACTGCAAAGCCATAGAAGGAAAACTACTGGAATAGATGCATATGAATGGCAGACACAGTACAAACAAACAAAAGCTCACTTTTCATACTATATTCATCACCAGTACATTTATCATAGAATCTACTAGGTCATTCACAAATGACATTGAGTTGGGAGTGGAAAGGCAAAGATGCCATTACAGTACTTCCAGTACCCAACAAATACAGGTGCTCAGAGACTACTTCCAGAATGTTCTCACTGCACAGTAAGACGTATTCTGGTCCAATAATTACAGCTCCAAACAAGCTCTCCTTCCTTCTTGCAAAAGCATTAGACTTTGCACTTCAATGGAAAGGTCAAGACAAATGCAACACTTGTCAGCATGGACCACACAATTACCACCACTTAAAGCAAGCATGGCTCTCCTTTAGCAAATCAGTTTTTCTGCATGGGATAATGGGAATCCTACCTTTCAAAATTCATCCTACTCAACTAGAATCACTGGGCAGGCACTTCAAAAAAATAGTAATAATAATAATAAAAAAAAGCTTCTAAGTCAGCAGGGCTTAAGTTCCCCCTCGTCACTCACCGCCAGCTGCTGCTCTAATGTCCTGTCAGATCCTGACTTAGGGAAACAACATGGAAGGTAGGAGGGGGGAAATGATTTACAAAAAGGAAAACTGCTACCAGTTCCTACTGTAGCACACGTGTTTCTAAATTCTGGATGTACTTGCTTGCCAGTGCTTGAATCCCCCTCCCAATTTTCTTTCCCTATCCTTTGAATTTGCTCTCTACCATGATGACAGAGCACTCTTCTTCCTTCAGGAGCTGAATAGGTGCTCCCTGAAGAGCTCTCCAGCTTGCCCTCCCCACCTTACTGGCTCTCTTCCCTCCTGCTACCACTCCTGTTACCCTCACATAATGGCTCTCACCTCCTCAATTC